ACACAGGTAGGCTTCAGGTCCCTCCTCTCTCACTAGTATCTGTCAAGTGGAATTGTGATAGATACCATATTTCCATTCAAATTCATTGTGCAATGGGGGCAGATGTGAACATGGCAAAATCTTCCCCCTCTGCTGCAAATGCATAGATAAGAAAATGAAAACTGAAAAAGTACATTATAAATATCTAAGATGCATTTTAAGACGAGACATGAATCTGTATGTGATATGAAGGAATAGTGTCAACTATCATTTTTTGAATGTGTACTGTGGTCCAGACACTGTTTCTAGCACTGTATGAGAGCTTAGTCATTAAATCTCCAAACTGGGGACAGTTGTGGCTTGATACTTAAGATGGCTAGATCCCACCGTGTGACCATGCAGGTCAAGTCCGAGACCCAGCAGCTTGAGAAACATGCTGGGCATGTATGCATGCTTCCCCCAATCCTGTAAGGGTGAGAAATGGAGCAGAAGGGTTTGCAGTGTGACCATGACCCACAGATGGTGCTATCTTGCATTCTCTCTCTCTCTGCCTTTCTGTCACTCTCTGTGAATGTATGTACCTTACAGTAAATTAAAGAATAAAAATCTCCACAATGACCACACACAGCAGCTCCATCATGAACCTCATTTTAAAGGTGAGGAAACCTGTGTCACCAAGAGAGTAATGAGTTCACCGATGTCACCAAGCTTTTACGATGAAAACATAGGCTGCCATTCCTAAGTCTTTCATTTTAACTTTCTCTTTCATAGAAATGGAGAAGCATCTTCAAGACAAATCAGAAAACAATGGTAGTCCAAATTATAAGCAGGCACCATAGCAGAGTTAGACAGCTCCAGCTCCAGAGGACCCGGGTCATCTATGATTGTATAAGGCATCACTATTGAAAAGATGACTGTGCAGGAAGGAATCACTGAAGACTTTGGAAACAATATAAGAAGAGTTTATAGAAAATTCAAGAACAATAACTTAAAAACAATAAAGAACAATAAAAATGAATACATTGCATCTGAGAAAATATGGGAAAAGTGCTATATGAAAAGGTCTTTTAAATGAATGGACTTGACTTCTTTAAGTACACAAAATAATAAATTGTTTAAATGTGTACATGGAACAATAACAGGTAGTTATAAAACAAGAATAGGCAGTCATGAAATAAGAACACATATGTAGGAAAACAATTAATCAGGGACTTTGAAAATAAAAACATAGAGCTTAATTTTTAAAGGTACACAAGTAAGTTGATTAGCTGACTACTCATAATGAAATAGTAAATTAGTGAGCCGAGTTATCTGGTGGGGGAAATTCCCCAGGCACAGCACATAGAAACACACCTAAACATAATGATGTGAATGAATATAAACACCGAAATAGGAAAAAGAAAAGTGTAATACTTCAAAAGTTTGGTTTAGCTTCGGAAAGTCTGGTTTAGCAATATTAATGTCTGAAAAAAATATATAAGGTACACGTATAAATGGCAGAAGAAGAATAATGGCAACAAATAGTATGACAGTGTCTAATATTTTGACAATTTCTTGTGAAGGCTACCAAACTTATTTTTCCCATTGATTATGGAGATCACTTTCCAGGGTCCAGTGGCCACCATCATTTATGCAATCCTGCATGGTGTGCAAAGGGAAGACTGTGTTTGAGAATAACAATGATAATGAATGCTAAGGAAAAAGATTAATCCAGTTAAGAAAATGTAAATTCCAGGGGGAGAAAGAGGAGCTGACATTTTAGTGAGGTGATTTACAGGAGGTGCCTTTA